GGCTCTTGGGGTGTGCACAGGAGGTCCCGGCCAGGTGGGGCTCTCTTCGATTACAGCAGTCAGCCGCCAAGCAGGAGTGGGGTTGGGTGCTGTGAAGCCCATCCCAGTTCCGGCGTGGGGGCAGGATAGGTGTCAGAAACACTGGGTACCCGCACCGATAGCAGGGGGACTGGCACCCCATCTGTGCCCAGTCCCGGAACTCATATCCACATTTCGAGCAGTGGAACTCAGCCAGGCCCCACATCTTGTCTAAGGGCACGGGCTCGTAGCGCTTCCGGCATTTCCGGCATCAGGACACCTGCATCCACTGGGGCATCTGGCGCCACCAGACATGGTCGCAGGGGGAGCGTGGAAACTGGCGCTCCGCAGAGGGGTCAGGTTGGCCTGGGCTCGTTGGACCATGGCCAAGCCGGCTTCTGTCAACGGCAGGAGCGCAGTCGCCAGTCTGGAGTCCCGGTCCTGCTTCATGTCCTCGGGCCTGGGCCAGCAGGTTGTTCCCCAGGTCCTCTCCATCTCTCCGCTTTACCTCCTACATGATGGCGCGCCCCACTCCCCTGTGGTCCTGGCAAACCTCCTCATCAGAGCCCCTGCCTTCCCCGAGGGCACCTTCCCGTGGGACTTCTCCCCCAAGCGCCAAACGCTCTTCTCCAGCTCCACGTCCTCCTGGGACATGGTGGCGGCGGCGGCGGCGGCTGCGCAGCACTCCAAGAGGGTCTCCGCTGCACGCCCACCCCGCCGGCCGCTACCTCGCCGCACCCGTCGGTATGGCTGACAGGATTGCATTTTCATCCTAGGAGGGAGGGAGTCTCGGGCCACAGGTTTGCCCAGTGCAGTAAATACACCATTTCAGTTCTTGACAGCTGCTTCTATGAACTTTGATTGTGGGTCCCAGGGAAATGAAATTGTTGCTAACTTTAATATTTCCTCTGCTTGGTGTTTATTGGTCCTCTGTGAGGAGTGTTGTGTTTGCATTGGGGTGTAGTCCATGGTGAAGGCTATTGTCTGACGTGATCCATGATGGAAGCAGGTTGCGCTGTTTGCGCGTTGTCATCCTGACAGTGCATCTTCTTGGTGCACTCCAGCTTGGTGGGTTACCTGTTCGGCAGACTGTTGAATAAAGATGGGAAAGATAGAACCCTGGCACTCGGTTTGCTGGGTTTAAGCCCTGCAGTGCCCCTTGCTCTGTTCCAAGGACTGCTTCTCGGTCTGGGTGCAGCAGGCTCCTCGTGGTTGGTCTACGTGACTTTTTATGAGAAAGACTCCCTCCTCCTCACACTCCATTTATAGGGTAATCCTATTTGGTGATAGGAAACCTGACATATTAAACAGTTGGTGTAAGTCCTTGAATTTCCTTCGGTGTGCATTAGCATGTGGCTGAAAGTTTTACCCGCAAACATATTCTACCCCCGTGCAGATTCGAGAACTGATGAAATCCTTTGAGGGTCCTCAGCCTGCGGACGTGCGGCTGATGAAGAGGAAGACAGGTGAGAGCTTGAGGAGCCCCTGCTGCTCCGGTCTCTTCCCCACCCCCCTCAGTCCCGAAAGAGCATCTGACCCCAATCTTCAAGCACATGATTCAGAATGAAAGGTTTGCCATGGCTAAGGAACGTGACTGAGAACGATATTAGAAGGCACTGTGGAGCCTCTAAAAAACACTTGTTTTTAGGGGCTTTTTTATTCCTCCCCCCTCCCCTTCGGTAAGTAGCCGTACTGTGATAAACTACTTGTTTGGCACTAGCCGGTTGCATGGTTACCTTTTGAGCGTGGAGTCCAGTGGAGTGGCTTTTAGTCCTTGCCATGGCAAAGTGTCCAGAAGAACCCCAAGCGAAGCCACAGTCTCATTAAAGCTGCTTCCCAATTGGCTTGTCACGAGTGTTGGAGCAGTGGGAGAGAGATGCGCCTGTTGTAAAGGAACTGACTAACACGAGTATCCCGTCTATATCTGAATGCTGTCTCTAGGTGTAAGCCGTGGTTTCGCCTTCGTGGAGTTTTATCACTTGCAAGATGCTACCAGCTGGATGGAAGCCAATCAGGTTGCTTCACTCACCAAGCCTAGATATTGATGAAAATGGAACAAGTCTGTACAATTTTTAAAAAAAGAAAAAAGGTTGAAGGAGTGGTTTGTTCCAAAGGAGTGACTTTAAAAAAAAATAAAAAGCTTTGTATATATTAAAATGACATGACTAGACTGTGTCCAGAACGACTCTGCAGAGTTTGCTCTGCCCGTAAACACGACTGCCTGGCAGCGCTTTGTTACCCGCTGAATGCCTGTCTGGTGATTACCAAAGCGTCCTGATGTCTCTTCCTCGCCCTGCTCACTTAGCTTCCCACGTAGAACGTCCGAGGGAGTGAGCCTAGGAGGGCCGAGCTAACGCCCTCTCTGACAGTGAAACAGACGGATGGAGGTCTGTGGCAGGCCTTCCTTGTTTCTGCCTGGAAACCACAGCCTCCTAGCAGGCATATCTGCCCAGGTGGACCTTCGGGGACTTTGTAAGGAACAAGTGGACTTTATGACCAATCGTTCTGATGAGCTTAGCCTGGGAGCCTGCCTCTAATCCAGGTAGGGTGGCACTAACACCCTAGTCTCCCTGAGAATGCCGTTGAAAGTGCTCCAAACAAATCCCTGGGGCTTTCTGGTGGCGCGGTGACTGGCACATTTGTTGTTCAGTCTGCCAAGGTACCCGTGCCCTGCTTGGCGCTTCATAACCTTTTTGTAAGGACATTAATGCACCGCATTGGACGCCTTGAACCACGTGTGTCCTGGAAAGTTAACTCATCATGTTGCTTTTCTGCAGCATTTTATGATTTAAATAACCCAGAAATAGAAGTGATACTCTGTAACAGACTGTCGCCTGTATCGAGACTGACTAATGAGGGTATCATTTTGATTGACTTGTCAAAGTTTTTGTCCTCTTGATGCCTAAACTCACAACCTGACCCTATAAATACAGAGCTTTGATCATTTTGTGGTACGGACGCCCTCCTAGTAAGCGGGCGGGCTTCGTGTGAGTGAAGCTCACACTTGTGAGCAGGACAGCCTCATTGAATACCGCAGATGTGTCGGTGACGTGCTTGGGAGCATACAGTTCTGAAAACATTAAGACTCCACAATTTTAATGTATACAAAGCTATCGTAATGTGTAATGCTTCATTACTGTTTGAATTCACTCCAGAAATGAAAGGCCAACAGGATTAGGGACTCAGGGATTGTTTGGCATCTCCCCCAGCACACATCCCTCCTCGTGGGATGATCTTCTGACACACCTCCCAGCCACACTAATTTTACTTCTGTACATCCCAGTGAGTGGATGGCCCTTCAGCTCTTTCCCTCTGGCCGTACACGTAGCCTTGCAAAACTCAGAGCACAGCTTCTATCCAGGATTGGCCAAAAATCAAATGCTCAGCAGTGGGTCTGTTGAAAGAGGTTAGGCTCCTTTTTAAAAGCTCCAAGTCTAACCTATTTTAATGTATTCCGATAGTATGGACTATCCGGGCCCACCCACTGGTCCCACCACAGCCTCACCCATAAAGAAAGCGGCTCCTGGTAAAAGGCTCAGGAGCAGGTGCCAAATACACTCTGGACCAGATTCAGCTGGCATTTTGACCTTTTAAAGTTGACCCTTTTAGTCCCGTGGTTAACTTGAAAGGGTAAGGCGGTTTGTACATTTATGACCTTCTCCTGTCCCCTTGAAGAAACTTCATTGGCCTCCTGGTTTCTCATCGTGAGAGTACCGTCCATTTCTTCGGAAAACACATCCGTCCCCCAGGGACATGGCGAGGTTGCAGTAGGCAGGGAGAAGTCTCCTTGAGCCATGCTCTTGAGTTGGTGGCATTCAGACATAGTCCCTCCTGAGCAAGGCTTGTAACCAGATTCCCTTTTAAAAGGAGCCCCTTTCCCATTCGTCCCCCAAAAGTCACATCCTGAAGCAGGAGTACCGGGGGAAGGGGACTCACTGTGCATAGGACAGGAATGGGGGAGAAGCTGAATGAAGCCCAAGGACACCATGCTCAGGGCTAAAATAGGAGACCATCAGAACTGGGGGATCGTGTCTTCTGTTTTTTAGTAGACTGATTGTCGCTCTCAGGCAGCCTGTCCATGCTGAAGGTTAGGACTTCGTCTCCGCGGGAGACACGGCCTGGTGCATGTCAGTGTCTGGCAGCTTTCTCAGCACTCCCTGACCCCGCTGACCTTTACCCGCGTCCCACTCTCCACTGCCTATCTCAAGGATTGGACGGGCAGAGTATAGGTGGCGGTGGTTGGTCCTCCCCGGTTGTTGTCCATTTAATTCCAGAGCACTGATTTTTCCGAAGTGTGCTCTGCCCTGGGAAAATGGACACACATCCTTCCCAATGGGAATAACTAATTAATTCTTTTTTTTACAGAAAAAGTTGGTGATCCAGGGGAAGCACATTGCGATGCACTACAGCAACCCCAGACCCAAGTTTGAGGACTGGCTGTGCAACAAGGTAAGCACGCACGAGGACCAGTGCCTGTGTGGTCACCTGACTCTAAGGTGCTTTTGATGTTTTGTGACTTGGAATCCCTAGAACTCTAGAGAATTTGTAGTGTTCAGGACCTCAGTTCTTGTGCGTGGCGGAATCCTGTGGTTTTTCATCAGTGGTTTACACAGCCAGACACTGCCGCAGTACCGTGCCCCTGAGAGTGCGTAGCCTCTGCTGCGTGCGCTTCCTGGACAAAGAAACAGCAGGAGTCAGCTGCTGAGTGCCCGCTGTAAATGGAACGATGATGAACTTTGTGAGAGCACTTTTTAATTCCACTTTCCCACAAACTTCAGAAGCCCCTAACAGCTTCTAAATGCAATATATTTAAATTGCTGTGATATAGTGAATTCTCGCTAAGTGACTTTAATTATATGTACTTTTTTCACCCCCGTATAATTCTACAGTTTTATTTTCCTTGTCACTTAGCATTGCTCTTTTCTCCCCACTTCACAAACAAAAAGAATTCTCAGATGTTTCATAACATTTTACATTTAGTTTACTTGACTGAGCTCACAGCTTTTGACGTGGCCGTTTTGCTTCATCGACAAAAAGCTCTTGCAGTTTGGCTGAAGTTGCATGAGGTCTGTGATGGTCCTGTCACCAACACACAGCTTTGAACTTAGGTGGTGACCTCGGGTGGAGAGTGCCCCAGCGCTGAGCTCTGTGGGGAACCGGAGCGGGCTTAGTCCTCCTTGCTGTACGTAGGGATCCATCATGGACTCGGGGGCGAGGCACAGCTGTGCTGCTGACTCGGTGAGGGTTTTGGAGTGAACTAAAAAAAAATCTCAACTTAATCAAAATAAGTTTACTTCAAAACACCTCAAGATTCCCCAGTGAGAACTGGCCTGGTGTGACAGTTGGACGTTCTAGGCTATGCACCTTTGTCTGTGGTCTATGGTGTCGATGTCGGTTAGCAGCAGAGGCGCGGACCCAGGACCCTGCGCTGAAGTCCAGGTAGTTACTAGAAAGGCAGACCTGCTGTGAGAAATAACGACAGGTGTGTTTTCTTTTTCAGTGTTGCCTTAACAATTTCAGGAAGAGACTCAAATGCTTCCGGTGTGGGGCCGACAAGTTTGGTAAGCCTGCACTCTCCCGTTTGAAGCGGGCTTTCGAGCCCGACTGATAGGGCTGTTGTCTGTGAACGTAGGAACCGTTAGACGAGGAGCATGGTTTCCTGTACACTTTAAGGCACAGGCGATGGAGCCGGTGAAAGTTCAGATCATACTTTCATATTCAGAGTTAGGTCTGCTCGCTTGGTTTGCTTCGTGCTGCTTCCCACATTAGTCACTACCAACTAAGGAGGGTTTCACTACAGCCACGCATGCTTAAAAGAAGGGCGAAACAGTGTTAAATGTGCTCTCAAATTTGGGATTTCAATGTTCTTCCTGCCTTCAGTGTTTGGGGTCCCCTTCTCCTTGTAGATTCTGAACAGGAAGTGCCCTCCGGAGCCACGGAGTCGGTCCAGTCTGTGGATTACTATTGCGACAGTAAGTGCGGGGGGACCTCGTGTCCATGGTGGGAGACTGCCCTCGGTGCTGCTCTGGGTTTGCTTGGTTCCCGTTTGTCATGTGCACCATGAAAGCTTTGGGTTCCCACTTGAGTTTAGTCTTCGGGAGCTGGGGGTCGCCCAGCATGGACCTGTGTTTGCGTGTACTCGCGACTGCCCTGAAAAGCATGGATGGTAACAAACGGGTGTCATTGTGTCATCCGCCCCCAGCGATCATTCTTCGGAATATAGCTCCACACACCGTGGTGGATTCCATCATGACGGCGCTGGCCCCCTACGCGTCCTTAGCTGTCAGTAACATTCGCCTCATCAAGGACAAGCAGACCCAGCAGAACAGAGGCTTCGCGTTCGTGCAGCTGTCCTCGGCAATGGTGAGGGGCTGCTGGAAAGTGAATGTGCTTTGTGGTCGATCCCACCGAGAGACCGGGTCATGAGGCTGTTGGGCTGCCTGTCCTGGCTGCACACGCACCCCTCCCAGGTTCATGGCTGGAGACGTTACTGTGCTGCGCAGTTACGGACTGCCAGAGACCATTCCGAGGCTGTCAGTGGTCCTGGAGGGTGGACCACCGTCTGCTGAGGAGCGGCTGGCGGCTCTGACCCACCACCTGCACACCCGGGCGCTGTCATGACTGCAGCAAGCCCCAGAGATAGCAAGTGCCCGTTAGAGCCTGGCGGTGCTGACATTTGAACCGGTTTGGTTTGGTTTGTCTTAGAGTGCTTTCACATTTAGTCTTACATAAGCCTGGAGACCTTCGTGTCCCGCTCTGGTTTAGTGGGCGAGGTGATAGGGATAGGCTTTTAAGTTGCACAGCAAGCTTGTTTTCTTCACGTTCTCCTTCAGGATGCTTCCCAGTTGCTGCAGATATTACAGAGTCTTCATCCTCCTTTGAAAATTGATGGCAAAACGATTGGGGTTGATTTTGCCAAAAGTGCCCGAAAGTAAGTGGTCCCCTCTATTCATTTATCTATCTCACACGGCCGCACCTGCCCACCTGTGCAGAGGCACTTTGTTGACTGCTCTGCACCCTGTCCTTTCTGCCTGTCACAGCTGTGCGCACACTGTCTGGAGCTGAGTCCCCTGCGGGTGAACCCAACC